TATAGTACATGCTTTAAGGTTTATTGAGCAGCAGGGCACGTTTGCGTCACCGACAAAGCAGCAGGATTTTATGAATCACGATTACGACACAAGTCGGCGATATATCCATGTCGAGTCGTTCTAGAATAGGTACAATCATGCTTTAACAAGCATATTCGACGCATGAAACACCCCCATTTCAGCGACAATAAAGATCTGTCGTAAATATAGAACTCTGCGTAGTCAATATTGCCACTATCGCTGGCAATATCGTTGATCTCTCTTTTCCCTTTGATCAATCTTTTAACTGAAGCTGAATCTATGCTGATACTTCAAAGGAAGGTCGCGACAGCGAGTTATTCATAGACTGTTTGTTGAATGCTCATCCCTTTTGTACTTCGATATCTGCAAGATTCAAATTGATACTGAATGTATTCTGTTTCGAGGGTTAAACACAGTTTGTACTGAACTTCCTCGTGATATATTATATAATACCATAATATAGGTACTCTACGTAATATGCGTTGAATATAGTGTTATAACATATTGTTATGGTGTAATGTACATAATGCGTTAAGATGTACTTTACTGTGTTGTAGTGCATTTCATTATATTAAACTGCACTTTATTACATTACACAATATTTTATTGTACTGTGTTATACTTCCGAATATGCAGAACACTACATCACACTGTACTGTAGTATATCACAACGTGTTGTACTTACATTGTGTTACACTAAACTTCATGACACATCATTACGTTGTTTTCTACTTTAGTTCATTGCATTGCATTCTACTTCGTTGCATTATTTTGCACTACACTGCATAGCACTACACAATATCCCACTGCACTGGATCGAACTATTCTGCAACGTACTATTGTGTCTTATACTACACTACTGTATTGCAATGCACTGCACTATACAATATTGCACTACACTGCACTGCACTACATAGTGTGCCACTACACTGGATTGTACTACACTTCATCACACAATATTGTCCTGTACTACACTACATTGCATAATACTGCATTGCAATACACTGTACTATACAACATCGCACTACACTACACTGCACTACATAATGTGCCACTAAACTGGATTGTAGTATACTGCATAGCACTATACTGTATTGAACTACACTACACTGCATTGTACTACACTGCACTACACTGCACTACACTGCACTACACTGCACTACACTACATTGTCCTGCATGCACTATAATCGATTGCACTGCACTACATTGCATTCCATTACAGTGCACTACACTGTATCATACTACACTGTATTGCATAACACTGCATTGAAATGCTCTGCACTATATAACATCGCACTACACTACACTGCACTACATAAAGTGCCACTACACTGGATTGTATTACACTGCATTGCATAATACTGTCTTGTACTACACTACATTGCATAACACTGCATTGCACTGCACTGCACTAGACTACATTGTCCTGCATGCACTATAATCGATTGCACTACACTACATTGCATTTCATTACAATGCACTACATTGAATAATACTACACTGAATTGCATTTCACTAGACTTTATTGCATTACATTGTATTGCATTTCACCACACTGTATTGCAGTGCATAAAAATGCATTACACAACATTGCACTACATGCACTACATTGGACTTCACTGCGTTTGTTTGCATTCTACTACACTTCATTAATCTTCAGTGCATTTTAATGCACTATATCTGATTGCATTGCACTATTTCAAATTCTATTGCACTACTTTTCATCGCAATGCACTCACCTATATTGCACTGCATTGCACTCATCTGCATTTCACTGCAGTGCATTACGTTGTAACACTGCATTGCACCACGTTACATTACCCTGTACTACACTACTCTACATTATACTGCATTGCATTTTATTGGACTTTATGATATTACACTGCATTGCACTACACTCTAACACTGTGACTCACTACATTGCATTGAACTGCAGTGTTGGACTGCACTGCATTATATTATCACTGAACACTTTACTTAATTTTTATTTTACAAATCTGAAATTTCTCAAATTCTCAAACTATCAACTTCCCTATTACAACTCTCACATTTAAAAATTTTCAATTCGTTAACCTAATCATATCCTCGAATTTCCACTTAACATCCCTATTAGTACACCTATGTTTAATTAACAAAATTGTTCAATTATTTCAACCATTATTCTTTAACAAGAGCAACGAAGCATTAATTCACTAAATATTTCACGTGATATCCTATTTTCTGCACGGAACAGAACCGTACAACAGAAATGCAAATTTTAGATCGTGAACACTTTTCGATTAAAATTGAAAGCAGGAGGTTCATCAAATTGCAAACAGAAAAAATGAAACAATAAATGAGTGCTAAATACCGTGTCAAACCGAGAAATGAATTTATGTTCAGATCGAAAGATTCTATCGTTAAAAACAAAATTAGCGAAGGAAAAGTGATACAACTGGGAACGATGAATATCGTGCGCGATAACGAGCTAGTTAAAACTGGCGAACTCTCGGTACGTGGCAATATTTACCGTAGACCAAATTGGAAAAGTTGAAATGTAATTAACGACAGTTAGAGAGTTTAACGTTCCCGCATAAACGCGGTCCATTAATATTCATTTTTGTCGATTAGGGCTTTCAACTCTCCGGGAAATTTCTACGCATGGGATTTATCATTCGACCTAAATCCACCGTTTGACTCGGTCATGAAATATCAAACTGTTCCATCAAACGGATCTACACTGATTCGTATTAGTACCCGTATACCATGATATTTAAATTAGTTACTGCTCGATATCTCATTTGTGATTATAATAATCATATATTAATCACATAATGTCTACTTTCGTTTCCTGCGAAAATTAATAGTTTAGGATATTTATAAAATGTTTTGGGGGCTGTTTCATGGATGTGGTATAGTAAATTGATGTTACATTCTTGCTTTTCTAAAAATTCATTCGAAAGTTTTAGATTTTTCATATTGTTTGATGTTGAAATTTTTGGGATTATGAAATCTGAAATTTTGAAATTTAAAGATTCAGAAATTCCGAAATCTGAAAATTAGAAATTTGGAAATCGGACATTTGAAAACTGGGAATTTGGAAATTTTTGAATTCAAAAATTTGTAAATTTCAGAAATTTTTGAAATTTTGGAATTTGGAAATTTGGTAATTTTGGAAATTTTGAAATTTGGAAACTTTGGAATTTGGAATTTGGAAACTTTGGAATTTGGAAATTTTGGAATTTAGAAATTTTGGAATTTGGAAATTTACGAATTTGCACATTTTTGAATGTGCAAGTTTGGAAATTTTTGAATTTACGAATTTGGAAATTTTGAAATTTGCAAATTTGGTAATTTTGCACGTAATTTTGGAAATTTGGAAGTTTGGAAATTTTGGAATTTGGCAATTTCGGAAGTTGGAAATTTTGGAATTTGAAAACTTTGAAATTTGGAAACTTTGGAATTTGGAAATTTTGGAATTTAGAAATTTTGGAATTTGGAAATTTTGGAATTTGCAAATTTGGCAATTTTGGAATTTACGAATTTGCACATTTTTGAATGTGCAAGTTTGGAAATTTTTGAATTTACGAATTTGGAAATTTTGAAATTTGCAAATTTGGTAATTTTGCACGTAATTTTGGAAATTTGGAAGTTTGGAAATTTTGGAATTTGGCAATTTCGGAAGTTGGAAATTTTGGAATTTGAAAACTTTGAAATTTGGAAACTTTGGAATTTGGAAACTTTGGAATTTGGAAATTTGGAAATTTTTGAATTTGCAATTTAAAAATTTTGGAATTTGCAAATTTTGAAATTCGCAAATTCGCAAATTTTGGATATTTTGGAATTTGGAAATTTTGTAATTTTGTAATTTTTGAGTTTTGGATTTTACAAATTTGAAAATTTAGAAATTTTTAATTTTACAAACATCTTATTTCAAATACCAAATTTTTCAAATATAAAGGCTAGTGACAATTTGCACAAATATAAAAACTATTCAAAAATTATTGAAATCCATGAACGATAAATACTTGAAAAGGTGTTATTGTATTCGGTACCGCACCATGGCATAACGCATTATTCTACCGTAATTCGAATAGAATTTCAGCCGAATGGAAACATTTGGAATAAGTCATAAGAAGCGGAATAATTAACTGGGTCGATTTCACATTCAGAAGAGCGATTACTCATTAATTAGCGAAATCGTCTGGCGTGCCGTGAGCTCATCACTTTTTTATGACACGATGATTCAGCTTCAAAGGGTATAACTTATCTTATCACGCACACCCGCTAGATATGACATGGCTGGCACGTATACAGCGATAACACGGAAGAACGAAAATGGTTGGGGTGAAAAAGGATTGGTGAAAATCGCATTGTAAGCTCTTTGAAGATATCCCTCTTTCTAACTTGAGTTGCGGAGCGTGAAGGATCGTCGAATAATCTTTTTTCGTGGGTCCGTATATCTTTGTGGGATAACAGCTATAGCATAGCATCAAATATGGATTCTTATCAAGGGATCCACTTTTGGTATAATCCATTTTTGGTAAAAATTGTCCTAACATTGATTGAAAATTAACAGTTGCGGGGAAAAAATAAAGAAACTTTATTTTATATTTGGTAATGAGACTAATAATCGAAAATATGAATTAGGATTAGAAGTTTCAGTATTCACATATTTTTGTAACTAATGTTCGAATGATGGGAGGAGAATTTTGAGTCAGATTGCAATATATATTTTATATATTCTAGACTTTAGAAAATAAAGAAAGGAACATAAAATTGAATTTGAACCCTGAACCATATTATCAATAACAATACTGTGATTTAAATCCAAGATAGACAATTAAGTAATTAATTAACCCAGAAAAGTTAAATATGTTTTGAATTATAAAAAATTTATAGAAAAGAGCGGAATTAGATAGCTGTATTAAGCGGTGATTAATACAACTTTATACTTTATACTTTAAATTAATATTGTTTTGTTTCCGTTTGTTTCAGTGTGGTGGATTTCCGTGCGTCGAGAATGTGAAACGCAAATCGCCAAGGGTAAGTACAATACAAGCTCTAAATCAACGAGTAAAGTTAACATTCAATAAGTTTTAATAAATGAGTTTCGAATGTTAGTTTCATCCGCGTCTCGTCTGCGCAAGCGTAGTATCAGCATCTGCGCATGCGTATACTGAACTGCGCATGCGCCCTACGATCTGCGCAGATCTAAGCAGTATGAATTGATAATAAGAGAATTTCCAGAAACGAATCTTTTTAATTTTAAGCATCATTCAGTTGGACCCTATAATAGTCATAATCAAATTGTTTTGTGAAATAAAGAGTTAATCATTTTATATAGTACATTTAAGTAACATTATCAATACTTCAAATAATATTACCTTCCACCGCAATAGGACATACATACTTTACATGTATACATGTATACTATTTCTCCAAACAGAAAATTTTAATATCAATTCTACACATTTTTTACAAAGTAAAATGAATGTCAGTTTGACTGGATCGCTTCTGTTTAATTAAGCCAATTAAACTTGGCACAAAAATGAACCATTCACGAATTCTTGACCTAGTTTAATATTCAAAAAATTTGAGAAGTACGTGTACTCCACAAAATATCAGTTAATCCTTATTTTATAACCAGTAAAAACGTACAGATTCATAGAATTATCTGTTGCCAAAAGAATGAGTTGAATTTTCTATCATCCTTTCAACGACGATATCCGTTGTCTCTAAACATTAGGGGTGAAGAAAGAAGCTTCGTAAGATGAATTTGTGGGTATTCTATGCGACTTTCTTATGTAATCAAATTACTTAAATCCAATTAATAGAGTCTCGATAACGGGACGACATGCACGAACCTACAGCTCGACTTCATTCGCTCGCTAGTACACACACGATCGTAATTAACCGCACATTCGATGCATGTATGCAGAAACCGCGCGTTGTTTGCGAATAGCAATTCGGAGCGTACTAGATTGAATGTAACATGAGCTACATAACGTGGAGAATGCGTACAGAATAGTCCTGTGTGTTCGTCTTACGGGCCTATTACCAAACTTGGCCCTGGTTGCCCATTGGATTGTTCAATGAGTGATTATGCGGCCGAAAATTAGCGAGATTTGCGGAACATTGGCGAATGATAGCTTGCCAATGGCTCTAATGTTCTAACTCGATATCGGCGACGCAAATTGTCCTTCGTTGTACATGGGAACTTATGATACTGAACATTGTTTCGAAATATGTTGAAACTGGGGGATATACATTATAGGGGAATGAGTTAAGTGCTGGATATGTTCTACTTTTATTAGCAACTGGAGAATTTCGGTCACAAACGAAGTATACAACCCCACTTTTGCAACACTGACATTTTTCAACCCTACAAATATTAAAATTTCGTAATATTCATATTTTAATATACACACATTCTGGCGTTTGTGAATATTTATTATATAATTTCAAAACCTGAAAACTATTTTATAATTTTTTAACTCGAGTCTTCCGTATCGCACTTAATTAACATCGTACTTTCGTCCACTTGGCAAACACCTAAAAGCGATATGCAATGAACAGGACGAGGAATGCTCAACTAAGGAGTACAAATTCAATTTACCCGCGGTACCAAAATTTCGCTGGTTTTGTTCACTCGGAGGTGTGGCCCGTATAATTTTATGTAGCAACTGGCAGCAGTTTGGTGTCAGACGGAAAATAGACGAGAGAACGTGTAATATTATTGCTAGAGAGCAAATCACAATGGCATCCTAGGCGACGAAAACGACATATCGTTATTCTAGTTAGCACACCATGCACCTGACGCAATGCAGTTGTATGCGACCCGTAAGTATGCATGTATGCGCATACATACATACGTACGTGAGACGCATTGTTTTCGGATTTGCTCTTTCCGCGTTATTCCCGACTTTATTCCGTCTTATCCACTCCTAAATTTACTGAACTCCGATTTTTCTCCCGGCTTTCGACCTTCTTGTCGGACGCTTTTTGCATTCGGGTATTGATTTTGCCTCCGAACTTGCACGCCGCTATCGAACGTGAAATTTTCTCGTTTTAGCGACGAATTTATTCAGATATCCTGCCAGTTTATGTTTAAACTGTTGTTTCCATTTTCGTATACTGTCCGAAACAGTTGTTTCACCTCTGTTTACTTTGCTCGCTGATGTTTCGATATCAAAAGCTGCGATTACAATTTACCTTCGCACGGATTTCAATTTCGTTGAAAAAATTTTCGATAACCGGACTATATTACAACAAGTATTGTTTGGACACGATAAAATATTACCAAACAGAAAAGTTCGGTTTTGTGTATTTTCGAAATAAAACCCGTGCGAATCACAAGTAATTAATAACCGTGTAATACTGGTACCTGTCATTCATGTATTTTCATAAAAACAGCTCCGAGAGCGGGGAATTAGCAACTGTACAGGAAATCGTGACCTATCCGTAAAGAAACAAATTATAAGAAACGTAAAAGTTGTTAACATTTAAAGTTTTTAAAGATTCGCTCAGAAACAATCGCCTGCAGAAGTATCCTTCAACAATCGAACCTCTCGTAGGGATATTTAACGAGATCGATCGTTCAGAAAGGATTACACTGTTTCGAAGGATTCATGGATTCGAGTGCAATGGAAAATGGGCCGCGTAGAAGGAGAATCGTTAGCAGAAATGAAAACAAATTGCTTGGGTGGGAAACTTCCGAGGGCCATGAAGCTACGCGGCAAAAGTGTGATTTGACAAATGGCGCGTGATAAAAGCAGGCAATGTTCATTAAGGGAAATAGTTCGCGGTGGTAATGCGACTCCTATCGCAAAATTGATGCATTGTAAACACGTTTGGGTGTATCCGATATCTTCAACCAGGTTAGGCCAGGTTTATAATGATAGAGCTTATTTGAGTTCAGTTCAAATTGATTGCAACTTCATTTTTATAAATATGCTCAAAATATTACACCCCGATCGAATCTCATTAATATATAATAATAATAATGTGTAAATATTTAACTGAATGGACGATTTGGAAACGGAGCCACACGAGAGGAGCAGGAGAATTTTTTAAAATTCTTATAGGATAAATATCTTTGATGTAGACTTTGCAGTATGTGAACAGCTATTCACAAGGCAAGGGAATAAAGTTTATTGATAGTATACTGATTGAAATTGATCAGAGAATAAAATCATGCTAACAGAATACGTGAAGACATTGCAACGACACAGTTCCAGGTGCTTCTATAGCAACATAAAAAATCTATTTTAAATATCAACATACAGTTACCACATCTTTGCACAATACTGAACATCATAACGCACAATTAAATATTATTATCATTGTATAAAGTACAGTTAAATATTATTATCACCGTACAAAGAACAGTTATTATATATCAACTTTCTTGACGGGAACGATAGTAAACGTTGATCATAGAAGACAAGTTTACAGAAAGCATCTTCTCCACATTCGGGAAAAGTTCTTCAACTGGAGAAAAATGTTGTGTAATACCATTAAATCCAATCTGCAGTCAGTTAACTGCAAAGATGCTGAGCCACTTGATACATAATACTGCTTTATTGTACTTGACGACGTAATCTCCTTAACGATGTCGAACAGTTAGCGAAACTGAGGAAAGAATCTCGGCGATTCGAGACTTCTTCAACTGCTATCCCAGATTTTCGATGGAACTTTGATACGCGTATCGAGAATCTTGCCCTATCGAAAGAAAGTAGAACAAGGTATCGTGTTTCCACTGTTCCTTATTTTTAAAAATCTACGATTGAATCGATTTAGTTAAGAAAGGAACAGCTGCTGTAAACGAGTACCCAAAGGATATTTTCTTCGAAACTTTACTAGATTATGGCTGGATATCGCGTTTGCAAAAATAACGCGAAAAGAATTGAGATTCTTTTTACTAATTTTGAACTTTACTGAATTTCACTGAATTTATTATCGAACATTGCTTTAGAGTCTTTTATGTGCGAGTGTTCAAAATTCCTACATTCCTAAATACTCAAACCAAGTTTCCAAATATCCAAAATTTCTACATTTATAAATTCTCAAGCTCTAATTTTCTAAATGTCCAAACTTTCAAAGTTCCAAACCTTAAAAATTCCTACTATGTCATAAGATTCAGAAATTCCGAAGTTCTAAAGCTAAAAGAAGGTATAATAAAAAGTCCCAAAATACCAAAAACTCAATGTTCCTAAATTTCAAACTCCGAAAAATTTAAACTCTAAAAACCCAATACTCCAATATTCCAAAATACAAAAATTTCTAGGTCTCAAAGCTGAAGTCCCAACGTCACAAATCTCACATATGGTATAATCCCACATATGACCGTACAAAGTGCGACAGTAATACGACTTCGAGATAGTATCAGCGCGGATTAAAATTGTAAATTTATGGATCTTGCTATTAATTCCAAAATCTAAAGGATTACCTGATTCTATCCTTTTACGACCGGATACATGTCGATAGAAGTTAAAATTTGTCCTCTATACGCGACTACACATCTAACGTTATTTTATCTTAGTTTTGTAGGAATGCAGGTCAACGTTGGATTAAGGTCCAGCAATACTTATATACGTAATCGCCTTAGAACATGATGTAAGAGTGGCAATTAGCAGTCGCAGTTACACGGGCCAACAAATTATACCCGGTTCTGTGTTCCAGTTACTTCTTTCAATAAACAGAATTAAACTTCGTAAACTGCCTGTGACAGAAATAGCATAACTCCACGACCAAATCTTATTTGCACACTTCTTAATATTCGAGTAGTTATGATGGCTTTTAGTTGATATATTGAATTAAATAATGTTTCCCATTATTTTAGGACAAATATAGTGTTTGTTGAATCACAATAGTTTATTTTGGGTTAACCTAATTATACTTGAAGTATAATGCTTTATTTTTGGCCATCCTATTCATATTTTAGCCATACTGCTTTATTTTGTATCATCCTAATTATCCTTGTTGTATAATGCTTCATTTTGGATCCTAATTATCCTTGAAACATAATGCTTTATTTTTGTTCA